CCGCGCGGACACCAAATCTTCAACACGACTTCAATGTGAGTGTATGCGACGGTTTCGACGCAACCTCTTCGGCTGTGCTTCGAGAACTCGACGAGAGCACTCGATCCGTCCACAAATCAGCCGAATCGACTTCGATTTGATTGAGCTAGAGAATTCTGAAGTTTGGTCAGGACCACCCAAACCAGTGGTTGATTCGCACGCGGGCGAGCGCCGCGTTGCCCTGGACGGCCGCCTCGATGGCCCGCAGGTCGTCGCCGGCGAGCTGGTTGTAGCGCAGGTCCAGGTGCAGCAGCGCCTCGTTTTTGAGAGTTTTTTCGCAGAGCGCGGCGACGGGCCTGTGCGGAATTCAACCGCTGGTTTGGGGGGTCCTGACCAAACTTGAGAACTCTCTAGCTCAATCACATCGAAGTCGATTCGGCTGATTTGTGGACGGATCGAGTGCTCTCGTCGAGTTCTCGAAGCACAGCCGAAGAGGTTGCGTCGAAACCGTCGCATACACTCACATTGAAGTCGTGTTGAAGATTTGGTGTCCGCGCGGCGACGGGCGCGCCGCCGTTCGAGTCGTCGGTGCGGAGCGCGTTCCAGCCCAGGTCGCAGGTCGCCACGTTCGAGCCCCCGAGCCCCGACGCGAGGGCCGCCGCCCCCTCGCCGCCTAAACCCGTCCAGGCGAGGCGCAGCGTCTTGAGCGTCACGAGCGACCCGCCGTCGAGCGCGTCGCCTAAATCGCGCGCGACGGCGTTGCCGAGCGCGTTCCGCGACAGGTCGAGCTCGGAGAGCCTCAGGGCACCGTCCCGGTCCTTCCAGGCGGCCATGAGGGCCGCGCCCGCCCGCGAGCTCAGGGCGCAGTTGGCCAGCCGCAGCGTCAGCAGCGTGCCCGCGGGCGTCGACGCCTCGGCCGCGACGAGGCGCGCGAGCGCGTCCGTCGCCGCGCGCGACCGGAGCCGGTTGTCGCTCAGGTCCAGGCTCTCGAGCCGCGAGCAGCCCGCCTCGAGCGCGCCGCAGATCGCCGCGACGCCGGCGGCCGCGAGCCGGCAGCCGCGGAACGACACGACGAACGGGTCGGCCTTGGCCGCGGGCCCCGCGAGCGCCGACGCGAGGCCGTCGCCGACGCTCCGCTTCGACACGTCCACGGCCGGCCGGTCCGCGCCCGCGAGCGCCGCGAGCATGGCCGTGATGCCCGGCTCGGGCACGAGGTCGAGCGCCTTGCAGTTCTGGTAGTAGAGCTCGGGCGGGCCCCTCCGCCAGCCGTGGACGGACCGGCAGCGCGGGCCGATGGTCATGACGCGGCCGTCGTAGTAGGCGACGTCCCGCGGGCTCGGGAGCTTGCCCTCGCGCTGCTCGCGGCGCTCCGCGCGCGTGATGGACCCCGCGCGGCTCAGCACGCTCCGGCCCCGGTCCTCCGGGTCGACGTCCTCGCGCATGAAGAAGGCGCCCGCGGCGCGCTCGAAGGGCCAGTCCTCGACGCCGCCCGTCGCCTTTCGGCTCGCGGCGTCGAGGTCCGCGCCGTCGGGCAGCGCGGCGTCCTCGGGCACCGTCGTGGTCGACGGCCGCTTCGGGGACTTGGCGCTGCCCTTGCGCGACTTGAGCGGGCTCGCGCCGCGCCTGTCGCGCTCCTCGGAGCCCGGCGGCGCCGCGATCGCGACGCGCTTCGGCGTCTTCGGCGTCCCGTCGCCCTTCGTCGGCGACGCGTTGAGCTTCGGCGTCTTCGACGGCGTCCGGTTCGGCGACCGGGGCGCGTCGGCGACGGCGACGGTTTTGCGCGGCGAGCCCGCGCCGACGTCGACGCGGACGGCGTCGTAGCGCTCGAGGCCGCGGCCGCGCGCGCTCCGCTCGAGGACCTTGGCGAAGGACCGCTCGACGACCTCGGCCGGGGGCACGAGCGGCTCGAGGCGCGCCAGGGTCTGCGCCGACGCGAGGGCCGAATTTCGGGAAACGGCGCGGTTCAGCGGGCTCGAGAGCCCGCCGAGGTCGAGGGGCCGCGGGCCGCCGCCGTCCGGGAGCCGCGCGCGCCGGGCGAGTGCGTGCTCGGGGTGGCGCAGCGCGTCCGCGTGGCGCAGGTAGGCGAGCGCCGACGCGCTCGCCGACGTCGACAGGTAGGGCGACTGGAGGCCCTTCTTGCTTCTATATTTGCGCGTCGCGCTCCGGGCCTTGCGTTTCACGTCGTCGAAGACGTTGGACTCCGACTCCTCGCGCGCGGACCGGAGGATGGACCGCGTGTTGGACCGCGCCAGCGGCGGCGGGCCCATGGGAGGACCGACGCGCGTCCGGGGCGCGCTAGGTGCTCGGGGCTGCGCGTTCCATCGAGCAGATCATCGTTGGAAAGCCGGACGCGCCGGCATCATCGGCATGTTGAGGTCCGGTCGCAATTCCTCGCAAGTTTCATGCATCCCGGTCCGCCCCGGGGCGCCCCTCCCGGGGTAGTTCCCGAGGGGCTCAGGTCCTTAGGGCCGGGGCCTATTTCCTCAGGACGTCGAACCAGTTCCCGAACCGGCTCGCGTCCGGGTCGTACTCCTTGGGAGCGACCTCCTCCTCCTGCGCCGCTTCGCGCTTCGCGGCGACCTCCTCCTCGCTCACGATGCCGTCGTC